AGAGAGAGAGAGAGAGAGAGAGAGAGAGAGAGAGAGAGAGATAGAAAGAGAGAGAGAGGTGGGGGAAGAATTAGAGGGAGGATGGAGAAAGAAGATAAAAGAGGGAAAAAAGGAAAAGACAGAGAGAAAGGAAAAGAATGAATTAATTAATTAAAGGGAAAGAAAGAGGGATAGCAGCATTTATGGAAAAGGGCCATGGTTTGGATATGACTTCAGTATTCTTCAAGGTTCCTAGGCTGAAAGTTTGTCTTCATTATGAGGAACAAAGAAGGAAGAAACTGAACCTCTTTGGTGTTCATAGGACGAACCTTTAGGCATGTTTACTATTGGATGAAGTCATCAGACAGGGGCCCTGAGATTTAATCCTGGCAGCTTTGTAAGAGGAGTGATAGGCACATGAGGAGACATGCATGTGCCCTTGCCAGCTCTTCCCTGCTACCCAGAAGCCAGCAGGAGATGCAGCCCTTCCCTTGGAGCAGACCAGGAGACAAGAGAAACCTGTGTTCTTCTAGTATTCCAGATTTGCAGTATGGAGAGTGACAAAGAAGACAGGCTAAGACAGATCTGGAATTCATGGGCTCTGAATCCCTAGGATATCATGTGCTTTCCACCTGCCCTCTACACCTGTGGCCCCAGGAGGTCAGTTCATGCTGCAGTCAGAATGGCTTCCAGAGAAGGTTTCTGAACAGAGTTTGGGTGACAAGGAAGGCTCTTCCTACAGACAGATTTATGAAAACAGCCTCTTACAATTTAGAGAGGAGTTCCTAAGGACTGTGCACTCTCCAGTGTGACACTAACTTCCTCAGGCCCCGGCCTGGTTCTCCAGTCTCCAATAACTAAGGATGGTGACATGGCCTGCGAAGTCTAAGTACGTATACTTCTATACTCTGACTTTTAAAAAATATCAATATTGTGACAATTTGAATAATAATAAATACTACAATTCTAAATGTCTCCCAGCTATAAATGTCCTCACTTGGTCTTACACTGGTGTTTTTAATCTTGTATCCATAAGTGTAACTACTATTGCCTTGCTTTGATATTTAATGGTACTTTGTATTATATCCTGTATATTTTGTTGGGTAACTAATTTAAATTCTAGGATGTCTTGATTTGCTCATCCTTTGGATATTAGAACAACACTACATGGAGTATTACCTTGCTGGGGTAACACATCATGATAGCAGAGGTAATGATTTATTAGAGAAGCATTTTATGAAGAATACCTCGATAAAATGAAGTAGAATCACACCTGTTACAAAACTAATTACTCATGGTAGAGATGAAAGTTAAGGAAATCTGGCTGGTTTTCCAGGTGAAAAGATTTTCAGCATTTATCTGAAGGTATCCAGTGCCACTATTTGCTTATGGTGACTCTGTAAGCTAAGAAGACATAGAAAATGCAAAAGCCCTCAGCAAGAAGCAAATTATCACTAGAGTATCTCTTCCTTATTTGAATGTCTCAGAACAAAATTGAGAAAGCACTGATATAAATAAATTACAACACCTTCCTACATCATTGTGTTCATGCTTAGAATCCTGCTCCCCAAAGTGGACCTGCTCTAGTTGGAGAAAAAGAGAGAGCACTGAATAATTGAAACTGTCAAAAATCCATACATTATTTAAAGAAGTAACTGATATTATTCTTTCTAACATGCTAACGTCTCACCTCCCTATTCATTTTCTTATGGCTGTGATACAATTTCTTACTGTGTTCTTCATAAATGGCTTCATTGTGCTAGTAAACATCATGGACTTCATCAAGCACAGACAAATGGCTCCTTTGGATCTGCTTATTTCCTGCTTGGCAACGTCGAGGATTTGTCAGCAGGTGCTCACCTTCCTTGTGCATCTGACTCATCTCTCCATCATTAAAAATATGAAATTTACTGAGTATTATATACTTTTCATGTTTGTAAATATTTGTGGGATTTGGTTGGCCACATGGCTTGGTGTTTTCTACTGTGTCAAGATTGCCACCTTCCCACACCCACTGTTCTTCTGGCTGAAGATGAGGATATCCAAGTTGGTGCCATGGCTGATCCTGGGGTCCATACTGTATGCATCTGTCTGTACTGGCATCCATACTATATATATATGGACTATCACCCAAAAATTCTTCATCAACTTTTTCCACAAAAATGCAACTCAAACTGAAGAAATAGATATTATACCATTTTCACTTTTGTTTATTCATTTTACAGTGCCATTAATTGTCTTATTTATTGCTGTTCTGCTCTTGATATTCTCCCTGGGGAGACATACCCAGAACATGAGAATCATTGCTACAGGAACCAGGGACCACAGCAGGACCTCCCTCTTCAGGGCCATGCTGTCCATCCTGTCTTTCTTAATCCTCTACTTCTCCCACTACACCATCATCATTTTGTTCTTCTTTCACATTTTGCAGTTTGGAAGCTTCTCTTTTGTTTTCTGCACCGTGGTGGCTGGCATCTACCCATCTATACACTCTGTCATCTTAATTTTAGGAAATCCTAAACTGAAACAAAAAGCAAAAATGTCCCTGCTCTGTGGTCAGTGTGGTCAGTGAGAAGAACTTGGATCAGTCCCAAGGATCTAGGAGTCAATGGCTTCCTGATTCCTGTCTCACCTCACTCACCGACAAATATCCAGGTCATAAATATACAGATCATCTATCCTATGGCACGGTTACAGATATGCTACCTTCACAATGGGTTGAATTGATCTGTAAAGCACAACAAATGTCAGTTGACTACATCAATGTTATCAATGTTATGTTCTGGTTGTGGTATAGAACCACCATCTTGCACGACAAATAATACAGGGATTTTTCTGTATAATGTCTTCCAAATGCATGAAAAAAATCACAATTTTCTGAAAATTCAAAGTCCTGAGGAGGAAGAACAGCATTTTCTTGAACTTGTGATGTCAAAAAGACACAGAATGGTATAGCATCACTGTGAGTAGGGTGCCTAGTTCTAAATTGTTTATCTGACTCAAGTAGGCTAAATGTCTACCTACCTGTGTATGATTTCTATCCTTTGTTGGAGTAACAGATAATGAAGCTCTTCCTATACTGGAAAGGAAACTGAGTAGAGGCAGCATTACTCTGCCCCTGTGGGATATGCATTGTGTCCATCTTACAAAGAACCTAGACATGATGGTGACACTTCCTAGCAACAAATAAAATGTATAGTTAGTTGAGGAAAAGAAAGAGGAGGAGTAAACAAAGAAGTTGAGATCAAAGCCTCATTTTCCATCTCCCCCAGTTATGTACCTAGGACAACACCTTGCAAAACTGTTTCATTTTGCCTCTGTTCACTTGGCTTTGTGACCTTTCCAATGTTTGTTTGCAACTTGATAGTACTACCCTATCACTTATTTTCCTGTTGAGTCACTACCAGTACGTGAGAAGGGTGTGGGTGTCAGCATTTGCTTGACCTCATAGATCTACATTTTCTGCTTTGCTGGCTGATGATTTTGGAGACTAAGATGTGCATGTATGCTTCCAAAACAAATTCAAAACCCCACTGCTTTCAGGCAAGTAAATACAAAATAAAATATGTTGTTAAGTTTAGCTATAAATTTTGGTTCCTGTGTGATGATTTAAAATTTGTTAGATTTAGATTTGCCAATCATCAGCTATAAAGATTCAAGTTGTGACTTTATAAGACATGCAACTCATAGAGCAGTCACTTTAAAGAATCTGAAAATATGCTGTTATCATCTTGAGTGTGGTAATTAAATTCTCTGTGTCTCTTAGGTCTTGGACCTGATTCCCAGGAGAAAAAAGCCACAGCCTCTACTTCCTGTTAGTAGCTACTATGCCTTCCCTGAGATAGATAGTGCTAGGAAGAGCAGATGTGTTTTGGAGGTCAATTTTATTCTCATTGGAGAAGGAGCATTATAAAGGTACTCTTATACTTCTCACATTTCCAGTTCAACAAATACTTGATCTGTGAACCCATGAAATGTGTACTTACAGGTGGATAGAAATAGAGATGGAGCAACTTCAAACATGCAGACAGGGAGATGTGTGCTGGACTTTGTTTCTCACAAAGTAATTATGATCCTATGCCAGGTCTCTTTGCACTAACAGTGCTAGTTAATGTCATAACTATGAAGGTATGACTAAGTTTGTATACTGAATATTATCAAGACTTGTAATAAAGGGACTGGATAAAGAGATGTGGGGTTTTTTTTTCATAAAATAGAGTAATATCCAATCATAAATAATGAGAAACTAGAGACATTTGTAGCTAAATGGATGCATATTGATGTAATACTCAAGTGAAATAAATAAGACACATACATGTAAATAGCAAACAGTGTGAAAAACTGGTGTGAAAAACTAAAAGTGTAAATAAAGTTCAAATTGCATAATTGATAATGAGAAATAGGAAAAAAGGGGCTAAAGATGTAGGGTAAGTGGGAAGGGTAGGGGAAAAGAAAGAAGGGGACATAAAAATATGAGAAAAGGAAAAGAATGGAAACAAAGTCTTTGTAAATAAGGAAGGGTAGAGGGGGTGAAGAGAGAGTAGGTGCATGGTGGAAAATAAGAACCAAGATACATCATGCAAAGGTACAAGATCCCAATGATCAATGTAACTGTACTGTATAACTATAATGTACCAATAAACATAATAAAAGAGACTTGTAATAAAAGAAAACCATAAAGAATAGCAAAGTATTTTTAAAACATTATCATTATATACTTTCCTGAAATAAATTTTTTGTTACAAAGATATATTGAGTTACTTGTACAGTACTAACCACTCTATTTTAAAACGCAAGAGTCTCACCCTTTCTCTGCAGGCCCCTTTACTTGGATTAGCCAGTCTTGCCAAATTTTCTTGTCCTTCTCAAGCAACAGCTTAATCTCTATCTTTCTTGTCACAGTGCCCAATACACTGCTTTTAAAAACTGAGCCTGACAGCCAAGCAAGATAGTGTGTGCCCATAATCCCAGCCCTATGGAGGCGGAGGCTAGAAGATTGCTAGTATAAGACTAGCCTAGATAAGTAATTGACTCAGAAATACTCTATTTCAAAGAATTTTTAAAAGGCTGGGGATGTAGATGAGTGTACCTGGTCTGAGTTGAATGATCAGGAGTACAGGAAGCAAAAAAGAAAAGGAGAGGGAGATGTGGATAAGAGAGAAAAAGACGAGGAGGAAAGAAATGAAGAAGTAAAGGGAAATGAGAAAAAGAAAAAGAAAAAATAAAGAAGTAAGGGGAAATGAATGAATGAAGGAAGGAAGGAAGGTAGGAAAGGACCAAGGAAGAAAGGGCCTGAGCTGGGTTCCTGGTGATGGCTATGGTTTACATATGGCTTGAGTGTCTCTCTGAAGCAGGACAGGAAAAAGAAGAGAAATAAGTTTCCCCAAACTAAGCAATTTTTCCTTAGATCTTCCACTTCCTATGGCTGTTGTTTTCGTTCTATTACAAATAAAATTAATAACTTTGTCTCTGTATGTAAGATATCACAACTCTGTGTTCCCATAAATCCTGTTTTTACCTGACCAAGGCCACCAGGATATGAGAAGTTATAAAACTGTCACATCTTGACTATTTTTCTGCTTCTGTCCACAAGATTATTGTTGCTAGGTAGATCAACACCCCATGGTACAACATGTATAAAGTTAGAGTCCTTCCTTTGTCCTGGGATCATCCTTTAGACACAAGTCCAATGAGCCAATGTGCACATAAATGAGCCATCCTGTTTCCCCCATTGGTCTGAAATTCAGCAACATTTAATGGGGGCTCACCTGGGCTCAGAGAGGACACTCTTGCTGTCCACTTTATGTGTAAGCTTGGGGATCCCAAGATGGAAGAGACACCAAGACCACCAGTGTCACTGGGTGAAACCTAACCTCAGACAGGGAATTGGCTCTCCTGCAGCCTGGTAACCTCTCCTCTCAGTGCAATGGAAACTGAGGGGACTACAGAGTGATTCTGGAACAGAGAGCTGCAGGACCAAGGTAAGGTTTGGGGGCCCTAGGAAGGACTGATCTCATGAAGATAGAAGGGGACCTCGATCATTTCCCAGGATGTGAGTGTGGCCTAGAGTAAGAGTGGCTCACAAGAGGTGTACCTATTAATCTGACCTAAACAAGCTCAGACAAACACTATATCCAGGGTGGAAAGAGAACCAAAAAGGGGAAGGTGTATGATTGTGTGTGAATGAAATGCATGGGGACACATTCTCCACCTGCTCAATAACACCTGAAAACTCCTGTGATGGATACAGTCTAATCCATCTAAAATGTAAGTGATTGAGAGAGTGACTTGCATCACAACAGGGAGAAGATCTGAGAAAATGTGTCAAAATATACCCCATTAGAATGTATGTTAGAAAATTTTAAGACTATATGGAGTGTTATAGAATAAAGCACCCCAGAGGTTAAGACCACTTTGTGAAGTTGAATGGCTCTCCTTTGATGTTGGATGGCCAGCCAAAGGTATAATAGCTTGGGGAGCAATTGGGCATGTGTACTGGGTGGTGGCCAGGGAGAAAGGTCAGACAGGGCATCCAGAACAATTTACTTACATCCACTCCCGGATTCATATAGTAGATACTTGTCCTACATGGTTATGGTCCTATATCTTGGCATATTGTGAAACACTTATGGCCTGAGGTGAGCCTAAAATGAAAGGGAAAGAGAAATCAGCTCTTCAAGGAGCTTTAGTGACAAAAGAAAAGCAAAAAAAACAGAACAAGAAAACCTGGTTTTACAAGAGCCCCCAGAAGAGGCAGAGATCCCCTTAATTACACCTCAACACACTACCCCCTTAATAGGGCCAGCCTGCAAGAAGGCAGGATCTGACAATAGTGAACTCCAAGCACCACCTGAGAGGGAAAAATCAGAGCCACTTTTGCAGGAGGAAAATAAGGGATGCCCAAATGTTAAAGCTGGGTATCTATGGTGTAGCTGCTCCAGGGATACTAGGCTGCCCATTAATTATCATATGAATAATCAAATCCAAGAAAGAAAGGGGAACTTTTTCTCTCAGCCATGCTCAAAGACTAACCTAATCTGGAAACACTATATATCCCTCCTATGTGGGAATAGTCCCAGGCCCATATAGATTTGATTCAATCCACCTTCCTGACACAGAATCCAACCTGGCTAGATTGCAAACAGCTTCCCTTGACAGTGCTCACATTAAGCAGTGCCAAAGAGTGACTCAAGAAGACCCCTGCTGATTGGAAAACAATGCCCCAGCAGGTGTGATGAATGTTCAAACATATGCTCAGGACCACTTCCCTGAGGTAGACCCCCAGTGGAACCCAAAAAATTCAGCTAAAATATAGCACTTTCAGGGTTACAGAGTCTCTTAAAAGGCTTAAAGGACAGTAGAAAGACAGCAATAAATATGAGAAATATCTCAAAATACTCTAGGGAACTGATAAAAGTTCCAGGCAATTTTACAAGAGGCTCTCTGTGGCATTTCACCTCTACACATCATTCATTCCTGAGGCCACTGAAAATCAGTGCATGGTAAATGCCTCCTTTGTGAGACAGGCTCAGGGAGACATCAAGTGGAAAATACAGAAGCTAGAGAGTTTTC